GGGGGGGTGGGTGGCAAAGCCACACGCAGCCCCAGAGCATCCCTCTGGTGGGCAGCTCCTCCCTGCCTCAGTTTCCCTACCCAGAAGATGACGCTGGTGGTCGTTTCCCAGGAGGAAAAGGCGGATCCAGCCCCGCACAGAGACCCCCACTGAGGCCGGCTGACTCCACAAGGATCACCTCAGCCTTGTCCCCAACCTCCTCACCACTCAAGGTGTTGTCCCCCGCCACGTTACGGGGCCAGGCTGCAGCCAAATGGCGCCGCGTTCCCTTTATTCCCATAAATAACCGACACAGGCTCATTCTGGTGCTGGTGGGGGGACCCCCAAAGGCCCCCCCAGACCCCATCCATCGGGGGGGGCTGAGCAGCGAGCCTGCTCGCCTGGCAGCCCTTCCTCACCCGCTGCCAGCCAAGGGGGCTGCAGGCAGGGAGCGGGCAGGGGCAGGTAGGGGAGGGTGGCTGTTTGCATCGCTAATCCGCGCTGCGAGCGCTTTCCTCCGAGATTACTGGGGATTACGGGCTTGGGGGCTCCAGGAGCTCAGCCCCACTCTCTGTGCCCTCCAAGGAGCAGTGCGGAGCCCCACGGGGGGCGGAAGGGCAGGCCGGGCACTGCTGTGATGAGCTGGGCGTTCTCAGCCACGCCGGCGGGCACAGCCTGGGGCAGCTTCTAGCTTGCCACAGCCTCACTCCAGTAGCCCGCTGCCCGTGAAGGCCGGCAAGCTGCAGCCCTGGGCTTTAAATAGAGCATTAAAAGCCGAAGGGATCAGCTGCGGAGTGGGAGGGGGGTATGCAAGGGGCTGTATTTTCCTTGTCCGGGGGATGACGCAAAGGGGAGCGATGGTGACGCCGAGGGAGGCTGGCGCCGCTCGAGAGGTCCCTGAGGTCCCCGAGGCACGCCGGTCTCCCTCGCCCCGACTGGCAGCAGTGTTATCGGGTCCCGGCGCAGCAACACTGAGGACGAGAAGCCACCGCGAGCCGCTACCGGGGACCAGAGCTCTGTAATTACCATGGGAGGCCGAGTTATTTTGGGAAGCGGCTACAACGCTGCCAAAGCTTTTATTCCTCCAAACCAAAACAAGATGGAAAGAGCCCGGCCCAGGATGCTGCATCCGGCGCGGGGAGGTTAACCCCTTGCCTCCTCGCTGCCCACACCTCGCTGCTCCCCCCCTGCCTGCACCCAGCATCGCCCCAGCGTCAAGGCGGGTCCTGGTGGCTTTGGCTGCAGAGGGGAGGGGGGCAGCCTCCGAGATGGGGATAAAACGCATTTTTCCCAGCACGGAGAGGATGAGCCACATCGTGCACCCCCACAGTACCCCCCCGAGATCTGCTCCGGCCGTCCTGAGCATGGGGTCCAGATGGGCTGAGGGCACCCCGAAAGCCTGGGAGGGTCTGATTCCTGCTTTTTGCCTTCTTTCCCTTGATCTGAGCCCAGAAGAGCTGCCTGTGCCCAAGTCGCTCCCCGTGCCGGACCCCTGCAGAGCAGCAAATAGCCCTAGATGCATGTGCTGGGGTCCCCCAAATTCTAAACCCACATGTCAGGGTCTCCCAGCCCCCTAAACCCATGTTCTGAGGTCTCCCAGCCCCCTAGATCCACGTGCCAGGGTCACCCCATCCTTGCTCCAAGCCCCCCAGGCTGTTCCTCTCCAGGCAGCTCCAGTCCCCCCAGTCAGGGTAGTGGGGGGTGGGTCTGGGGGCTTTTGGGGACCACGGTCCCCCATATCCGGCCAGTGCCAGCCCCTCGCAGGG